ATAGAAGTCAATGAATGCTTCCAATCTCAATCTCCTGTATACATTTCACCATTTTTGTTTTTAACCAAAGAAGTTAGGTTCCACTATGATAGAAGTCCATCTTCTGAAAAGGACGCATGTGACTTCTAGAGCCACGAAATGCTTGGTTAACACTTTGGTAACCATGAAAATCCTGTGTCCCTGCTGGACTACTGTGTACCCCTCCGGTTATGGTTCAGACCTTTGCTTTAGGATTTAGGAAACCAGAGAATATTCAGCGACTTGTCTGGCATCTAGTAGCAAGTGGGTCTAGTTAGGAGGTGAGTCCGGTATGGGATGTAATAGCAGCCCAGCCTGTCCTGTTCCTCACTAGCACTGTGCCACACCAACCCAGCTTCTACAGCTCAGCCTGCCAGTCTGCTCCCGGCACCCACTGTCCCCAGTTTATTTAGGTTGACTCAGCTTTTTTGTCATTGGCACTTTGAGTCTTCAGGCCTCGTCTCTGATCCTCTGCCCCATCTGCCCCAAATGTGCAAGGAAACCTCTTTCTTCCTGTCTGCCAAAGCCTGTCATTCATCATTCCCCACTGAGGAATGGAGCCCCAGAACTCCCTCCTCCTGACCTGCTCAACTGCTCCTGCTGCTTTGGGTGAAGAGCGTGTAACTCCTTAAACCCCAGAGACCATTCCTGAACGTCCCGTCATCTCTCCTAAGAAACTTTCCCCACGCTGCCCTTCTTCAACCTTCCCTGCCACCTCAGCACAGACTTCTGTAGTTACTGCAGTTTTCTATATTCCAGACTTTTTTGTTATCTGTTTGTTTATTTATTTATTTATTTATTTTTATTTTATTTTATTTTATTTTTTGAGACTGAGTCTCACTCTGTTGCCAGGCTGGAGTATAGTGGTGCAATCTCAGCTCACTGTAACCTCCGCCTCCTGTGTTCAAGTGATTCTTCTGTCTCAGCCTCCTGAGTAGCTGGGACTACAGGCATGTCATCACACCCAGATAATTTTTGTATTTTTAGTAGAGATGGGGTTTCACCATGTTGGCCACGCTGGTCTCGAACTCCTGACCTCAGGTGATCCGCCCGCCTCGGCCTCCCAAGGTGTTGAGATTACAGGCGTGAGCCACTGCGCCTGGCCCTGTGTTTGATCCTTTAAAACATGCCGCAGTGAGCTAGGCGGTGAGCTTCCTTCCTCTGAGGACGGCCCTGCTTCTGGCCTTCTGCCCTCTTCCTTTCAGCACTATTTCTTCCTCCTCAGCTCCCCAGCGTCCTGATTTTTTGTGTATTTGTTTCGTTTTGTTTTGCCTTTGGGAGGCGTTTCTGCACACCGCAAGGGCAGCCTACTGCCAGAGCCCCTCATACCTGCCACCTTCCTCCCCCATCGCCACCTGCAGCTTAGGATGCTGGTTTTCAAAATGAAAATATAAAGTTATGCAAAACTCCAGTTGTATTTTCAACCACATACTTTTCATAGGCATAAGTTCTGGAACTCTGAATAAGATCATGACAAGGCAGATTTGCCCTCAGAAGGTTCCAGAATCCTTGTGACACCTTCCTTTTCTTAATGGTAGCCCTGTATACTAGCATTCTATGTACAGAGCAGAGACAGGACCTTTGACAGAAGACACATACCTTCCCCTGTGATGTGTGGGTTAGCGTGGAGGAGCAAGCTGGCGCAGACTCGAGAGCTGGGGCGGGCATCTGCCCCGTTCGGCCTGGCTGTAGCCTCTCTTTTCTCTTTGTTTCTTTTATTATTATTATTATTATTGTTATTTTGAGATGAAGTTTCACTCTTGTTGCCCAAGCTGGAGTTCAATGGCGTGATCCCAGCTCACTGCAACCTCCGCCTCCCGGGTTCAAGTGATTCTCCTGTCTCAGCCTCCCAAGTAGCTGGGATTACAGGCATGTGCCACCATGCCTGGCTAATTTTTGTATTTTTAGTAGAAATGGGGTTTCACCATATTAGCCTGGCTGGTCTCGACCGCCTGACCTCAGGTGATCCGCCCACCTCAGCCTCCCAAAGTGCTGAAATTATAGGCATGAGCCACTGCGCCCAGCCGTGGCCATTCTTTTCAGGGACCTGGAGTTGGGGGAGGCAGCCGCCAACCTGTGCCAGCAAAGGCCAGTCTCTGCACGGCCTTTAATGCAGGCACGCCTGGCCTGATGGGGAGGGCTAGGGGTAGAAACCGCACAGGAAAGATGCCTCCTCTTGCTTGAATTGTGATGTTAACTAGCCGGGAAACGTATGTGTCTGGATGCTGAAATTAATACCCCATTTGCCTGTGGGTTTATCTTTCAGGATTCCTCTGGGAGCTCTTCCCGACACACCCTGTTCCGTAGCTGCTTAAGAAAGTAGTACATTTTGCTGACTCTGCCCTATTTAAATCTCGCTTGGTCATTCATTCTCATAAAATCTGGAATATGATTTATTGTTTATATATTGCAGTTTTCGCAGGGGTTTGAAGTAGAGATAGTTTTATTACAAATTAGAATATTTCTCCTTACACGCATATGCCAGTGACACATAGCAATATTGTAAATTTGGAAACTGTGTTATTTCTGTGTTCACCCATGTTCAATTAAACAGAATTAATATATTCTGTAATGTTTTTAGTACCATTTTTTAAAACTGAAGATATTTATTTCAAAATAGTGAACAACAAATTCAAAATAAACTTCCATATTTAGTAACATAACACATATATTAATAAGCGAAATGTCTAACTGCACAACACCAAGTGTCTGGGTTATGTGCAGTTCCCAGTTCTGCAGAGAAACCTGGCTTATATGATCCGAGTGCATGTTATATTGAATATGCTGTATTTATTTGTAGGAGCTGTATTTTTCTTAACGGATGCCGTCTGTTAGTTCTTTTTTTCTTTTTTCTTTTTTTCTTTTTTTTTTTTTTTTTGAGATGGAGTCTTGCTCTGTCACTCAAGCTGGAGTGCAGAGGTGTGATCTCAACTCACTGCGACCTCCCTCTCCCAGGTTCAAGCGATTCTCCTGCCTCAGCCTCCTGAGAAGCTGGGACTACAGGTGTGCACCACCATGTGCAGCTAATTTTTGTATTTGTAGTTGAGATGGGGTTTCACCATGTTGGCCGGGATGGTCTTGAACTCTTAAGCTTGTGATCTATCCGCCTCAGCCTCCCAAAGTACTGAGATTACAGGTGTGAGCCACAGCACCCAGCAAGCCTTTCTCTTACAGTTTGAATTTCAAGCGTTTAGTAGAATTTAGTACAGTTTGAATTTCAAGCGTTTACACACATACCTCGGCCTATGATTTTTTTTTTTTTTTTTTTCTGAGACAGGGTTGGCCTCTGTCACCCAGGCTGGAGTGCAGTGGCATGATCTCAGCTCACTGCAACCTCAGCCTCAGGGTTCACACACTCCTTCCACCTCAGCGTCTAAGTAGCTGGGACCACAGGCACACACCACCACGCTGGGCTACCTTTTGTACTTTTTGTAGAGATGAGGTTTCTTCATATTGCCCAGGCTGGTCTCAAACTCCTGAGCTCCAGTGATCCGCCACTCTCAGCCTCCTAAAGTGCTGGGATTATAGGTGTCGGCCACCACACCTGGCAGTGGCCTAAGATTTTATCTTCTGGGTTTGAGGGGGAAAAAGTCCATTTCTCTTCTTCTTTATGAAAAACTTCATCTTTATGAAGAATACTTCATCTTAAACTGGCTGATGCACAGTTTAAGAAGATAGTGTGTTTGAACTAGCTCCCAATAGATATCAGCATCCTCTGATATTATTATTGATGGAAAATATATTCTATCTGTACAATATTATAGACATCTTTAAGTAATATTTATTAAGTACTCTTCAGTACAGTATAGAAGTTCTTTAGTTTAAGAAAAATTTCCTGAGAGGGAGAAAAATCTTAAAGCAGTCAGGCTGGGCACACTGGCTCACACCTGTAATCCCCACACTTTGGGAGGCCGAGGCAGTGGATCACAAGGCTAAGGGATCAAACCAGCCTGGCTAATATGGTGAAACCCCGTCTTACTAAAAATACAAAAATTACCTGGGCGTGGTGGCGTGCACATTGTAGTCCCAGCTACTCGGGCGGCTGAGGCAAGAGAATCACTTGAACCCAGGAGACGGAGGTTGCAGTGAGCTGAGATCAAGGCACTGCACTCCAGCCTGGGCGACAGAGTAAGACTCTGTCTCAACAACAACAAAAAAGTCAGTGTAGGTGAGGTGGGATTTCAAAGTGGCCCGTGACCTTTCGCACGCAGTGACGCTGCAGGGGGGCATTTAGCGTGGGAGGAGGGCAGGGCAGGGAGCTGCATTACCGCCCTTCCGTGCTGGTATAGCCAGGGACCTCAAGTGGCCGGGACCCCTCAGTCATCACGAGGGCTGATGTGATGGGAGTCAGGGTGCCAGAAAAGCAAAGCCCCCTCGCTTGCCATGCTGCCACTCGGCGCCTCTCTGTCTCCTCGGCCCTCCTCTCTGAAGGCGATGTCTCCAGCGGCAGCGTGTCATCCTGGAGGACATCATGTCAGTAGTGATGCCCTTCGTCTCTGCCAGTCCAGGCTTTCTTCCTTGTCCTCGCCCCGCCTGCCGAAGCTGACAGACAGTGAGCAGAGCGCGTTAACGACCTGCCCGTTCCTCGCAGGTGGCTGTGGCACATCAGGGCAGAGGGCTTCTGCAGTCCAGTCCTGTCCTTGACCTTGTCTCAGCCTGTTTCCTTATGACTTTCTCACTCAGAAAATGCTTCCAAAGAGGGAATTTCCTGGTTGTTGCTGATGACACACTCTCAAGAAACCTCTTTTATTGTAAGAGACTTGCAGAAAGAGCTTCAAATGAGCTGCAGTAGGAATAGGATGGGTTTTTTCAGACTGTAGCCAGTTTTCCTCCCTTTGCGTTTTACAGATTAAGTTTATAGAATCAGTCATCTTTCCCATTTCCAAAGAAGTGTTGTCTTTTCCTTTCTCTTCTTTTTGGTTAGTGAACGGTTTTTCTCTTTCACTTATTTAGAATGCTAACTTTGGCCCTGTTTCCATTAGGAGATGAAAGCATGGAAATAAAAAAGCAAATTACAGGGATGAGAAGACTGCTGAATGACAGCGCCGGGCGGATATATCAGCGAGTTGGCAAAGAAGGAGAGAAATTAAAAGAAGAGCCCCAGGACCTGGATTTAGTCTGGCCTCCGCGTTTGAACTCCTCTGCTGAGGCCCTGCAGAGCCTCCATCCGTCGTCACGTGGTGTGTGGAATGAGCTACCGCCCCAGAGTGGACAGTTCTCAGGGCAGTATGGCACCCGTTCTAGAACCTTCCAAAGCCAGCCCCACCCTGCTGCAAGCTCCAATGGTACGGTTGTCAACAAACATTCAGAAGGCTCTCGTGGGGATTTGTACTGTTGTGTTTCGTTTCTAAATATTCATTGTGTTATTTGAGTTCAATTTATTAAACCCTCCCATAATTACCTGCCTTCACAGAGTTACCATAAAAGGCAGGAAGACACAAAGGACAAAATTGGAGAGTATTAAAAAAACAAAATCGAGAATTAGGGAAGGTGGGGTTCTATATTATAAGTGAAGATTTTCTGGTAGAGATGTTAACCCTTTAAGAAGTTAAAGCGGTCCAGGCGCAGTGGCTCACGCATGTGATCCCAACACTTTGGGAGGCCGAGGTGGGTGGATCACCTGAGGTCAGGAGTTCGAGACCTGCCTGGCCAGCACGGTGAAACCCCGCCTCTACTAAAAGCACACACAAAATTAGCCGGGCGTGGTGGGGCGCACCTGTAATCCCAGGTACTTGGGAGGCTGAGGCAGGAGAGTTGCTTGAACCTGGGAGGCAGAGGTTGCAGTGAGCTGAGATCCCACCATTGCACTCCAGCCTGGGCAACAAAAGTGGAACTTCATCTCAAAAAAGAAAGTTAAAGCGATTGTTTTTTGCCTGTATACAGATATTATCGTCACGAAAAAAGTGAACGTTAGGGCAGAAAGAGCTGGCCATTGTCATTAAAAGAAGCTTCCTGGTCCTATGGTGTGATACTGACATATCCTCTCATTTACTCCTTCGCCTTTCCCATTATCAGAAGAGTCCCAGATAAAGGGAGGGCCGATAACCCAGCATCCTGTGTCAGTACTGGATCCAGTGATCCATATTTTATAACATACTTCATTAGCAATGGAAAATATTCCTTTAAAGTAAAATTTTCTTAATTCAAGTTTCCTAATTGTTAAGAAAAGAATCAAACGACAGTTTTTCTTTTCAAAGCTTAAGGAAAAAACCTGATGCTTTCTGTGGCATATTAGTTTTCTAGCCAGCCACATTGGACGCTATAATACTTGTTCTGTAAACAGTGTAGAGATGGCCGGGCGCGGTGGCTCAAGCCTGTAATCCCAGCACTTTGGGAGGCCGAGGCGGGTGGATCACGAGGTCAAGAGATCGAGACCATCCTGGTCAACGTGGTGAAACCCCGTCTCTACTAAAAATACAAAAAAATTAGCTGGGCATGGTGGCACGTGCCTGTAATCCCACCTACTCAGGAGTCTGAGGCAGGAGAATTGCCTGAACCCAGGAGGCGGAGGTTGCGGTGAGCCGAGATCGCGCCATTGCACCCCAGCCTGGGTAACCAGAGCGAAACTCCGTCTCAAAAAAAAAACACAAAAAACAGTGTAGAGATGTGCAGATCTATAGTTTTCACAAAGAGAACAAGAGAAAGGTAAGAAAGCATTTTCAGTTTCCTTAAGAAATTAAGGATTTTTTTCCATACATTTTCATTTTCATTTTCATTTCACAATATCCTTCAAGAAAAAGAGAACTGTTTTGGTTTCTTTATTTAAACACAGTTTGCGGTTCAGAGGCGTGAAAAGCCATCCTGAGACATTGGTGAGACAGCGAAGGACCCCAGAGATGTATGGGTGTCTTCTCTTCCTCTCAATATTACATAAGCCAGTATCAAAGTTCCCATGCTGGCATGTGTCCAGGTTAGAGGGACATGGCTCTTTAAAGACTCCTCCATAAAAATAAAAAGTCAGCTCTCTTTAAAATTAAAAAATGATTTATAACAAGCTGAAAAGGGTTGGTTTTGTCCTCTAAAAATGATAAAGATGGTACTTAGAATAGTGACTAGAAATATTTTTTAAGACTGTCCCAACTCTACTATGATGGAGGAGAGAATAAGAGAAATAAAATACCCTTAGGTATGTACGAAGTTAATAAACCCCACATCGGCAAGTTTTGAGTAAACTGTTCTATTTCCCAGTATATAGCAGGGACCGTGGATTTGCTTTGAAGGTATTAGTCAAGTTAGTAAAAGTTACAAACATAAATTCCCCCAAATCAGTTTGAAAATAGATATTGATTTTATGCTTTCAATAGAAACATGGCCAGGAGTGGTGGTTCATGCCTGTAGTTCTAACACTTTGGGAGGCCAAGATGAGTGGATTGCTCGGACCAGTCTGGCCAACATGGCGAAATCCCATCTCTACTAAAAAATACAAAAATGAGCTGGGTGTGGTGACGTGTGCCTGTAGTCCCAGCTACTTGGGAGGCTGAGGCAGGAGAATCACTTGAGCTTGGGAGGTGGAGGTTATAGTGAACCAAGATCATGCCCCTGCCCTAGAGCCTAATGCAAGACCCTGCCTCAAAAAAAAAAAAAAAAAGAAAGAAAGAAAGAAAAGAAATATATTATGTAGAACCGTGACTACTTTGGTATTTCATTGGGATTGTTTGCAGTTTTAACACTGTAACATTACAGTTTTGCTACAATTTCGAATGTAAATAACTGAACTACTATGATCACTAAATTATCTTGAAGTATTTCATCGTTTTGCTCTGGTGAATTTTTCTCTAGTATTCCCAAGTAATGCATATTACAGGATGTAAGGTATATAAAGTATAATTAAACATATAATTGGAACAAAACCGTAGAACTTACCTTGCTCCCCTCTGAGAAAATGTTAAGTGCTGGGAGTCTGTAAGCTGTTCCATTTATGGAGGTCAGGGTAAACAGGTGCTGGAGGGAACCCACTGTAAGGGCAATTTCCCAATGTCCCATTTCATTCGAAGGACAGGAGAAGATACTTGCTTACCTATAAGGGAAACAGAGTAAGATGGGTTTACTAAGGAAAAGGCATTACTTTTTTTTTTTTTTTTTTTTTTTTTTTTTTTTGAGACGGAGTCTTGCTTTGTTACCCAGACCGGAGTGCAATGGAATGATCTTGGTTCACTGCAACCTTCGCTTCCCGGGTTCAAGTGATTCTCCTGCCTCAGGCTCCCAAGTAGTTGGGATTATGGGTGCCCACCAGCACGCCCAGCTAATTTTTGCATTTTTAGTAGAGACGGATTCGCCGTGTTGGTCAGGCTGGTTTCGAACTCCTGACTTCAGGTGATCCACCCGCCTCGGCCTCCCAAAGTGCTGGGATTGCAGGTGTGAGCCGATGTGCCCAGCTGGAAAAGGCATTAAATGTAAACAGTGAAAAAGAGGCTATGGTGAGGGAAAGATAAGAAAGAGGAATGGAGAAAAGAGGTAGGAGGGTTTTATTTATTGCATTGAAGAAAAGCCAGCCAGCCCGCCAATACCCTCGACCCCATCCAATTCAAATGTACCCTCCTATCCCTACTCCTCTGTCCTTCCCCACCCCAAACGCCACACCCAGAGAGGATTCTAAAACTTTTCATGTGTGCACAGGTCTTTGTTTTTGAAATAATGTGCTTAATATCAAAGCTATTTTCAATAGAACTCATTTCCTAATATGAACTCTTACGCACAGCTGCCAAATATTTTTTGCAGGGCTGTTGTCAGGGTTTGTTTTCTGTGTGAGCTAGTGTGAGTGTGTTTAGAGCGAGTTTTGAGGTATCATTGTTGGAGATGGACGGCTCTGACAATAGGGAGGCCTGCTGTGACCACTCACTGTGTGTGTGTGTGTGTGTGTGTGTGTGTGTGTGTGAGCGCATGTGCGTTCCTGCACCACGCCACAGCATGCACCTTACAGTATGGGAGCCGGGATAATTAGATAAAGTCAGACCCCCAGATTTAGGCTGTGATAATTAGCGGGTCCGTTTCCCTTCGTCACAGCTTCATCGTAATTGCACATGCTTCAAAATCCTGCCGAGACACTTCTTTTTTCTCCCCACCTCTTTATGATTTTGTTGTTTGTTTGTTTGGAGTGTGTCATTCTTCTCTTTCATGCCCAGGAGAACTTCCAGTGGTGAATTCATCAGCTGGATCAAACTGCTGTACTTGTAACTGCCAGTCAACGTTGCAGGCCATTCTGCAAGAACTCAAGACCATGAGGAAATTAATGCAAATTCAAGCAGGTACAAGGATCAGGCCTCGGAATGAGTCCTTTGATTTTTAATGCCTGTCTGACATCTTCTGTTGGAATGTTCATTGTGCTTTTATTAAAGCCTCCTTCTCACCTTGCTGGCTTGCTGTGCCTTTTCAAGTATCTGTTTTTTCAGCTTTCTCTGCAATCCATTTTTCCTTTAGCAAATCAAACATATTTTGTCTTGCTGCTGATACAGCTCATATAATTATGTGTATGTGCTTGATAGACTGCATTCCATGATCTCCTGGTACTTCACAAATGTCAGTTCATTAAATTTGGGAACAATTGTATATGGAGGCGCCCTCTAGGAAGCATGGGCTTCAGTGTTTAAGGACATAAGCAGATAAGAAATGTTGAGCCCGAGGCTGCACTCCGTGGCTTTTCTCTCTCCCGTTCAGGATGCCATTCGGCAGCTCAGAGACCTCCCACTCCGCCTCATTGTTTCTGTGACTTCTCTTTTTACTTTCAGTGCTGCCAGGCAAGTTGAGGAACGGAAGAGCAGTGGATTTGTGGTTTGGGACTGGGCTGCTCTCAGAGCTGTGCGATGCATCTGAGCTTCCTATTTCTCGTCTGTAAATGGAGAATTTGTGTCTAATTCATAGGGTTGTTGTCAAAGTGGAATGACGTAATAGATGTAAATGAACTTTATATGGCATGGTACAAGCCTAAGCTGTTTTATTAGTGTGGTCTTAAAGTCCATGGAGCGTTCTATAGAAGTCTGTAAGTCTGGGTCTTCATTATAGCAGCTGTATTTTCTGATCTTCACAACTGAGGGAAAACAGAATTGTTTTTGTCCCAGATACAAGAAATAAATCATTTTATTAAGTTTTCCCACCTGTCAAGGGAAATCGCCCCTTGATCTTAGCCATGTTGTGACTGGCTTTCCTGCCCTTTCATTGGAAGGGTATTCAGGGAGGTCGCTCCTCAGAAGCTGTTCAGGATGCCATTTAGTGAATTCAAGTATAATTTTTGATAGAAAAAAATTATACAATTAAAAGATTTTTTTAATTGTAAAAATTATTTGGTTTTGGTAGAAAAAGCTTAATACTTAGATATATCAATCATCCAAGATCACACTGAAGCAGCATGAGCTACTTTCTGAAAGACAGCATCTTTTTAAGCTCTGAATTTGGCTTTACCCCAAGGAAGCATTTTGCTCAGGTCAGTATGCGTTGGACTCACCTTGCTCCACCATGATAATCTGTGTTCTTATTAACCTGGCAGAGGTTAACATCTCCTAAATAAGGAGCTCAGAAAGAAAGGTTACTTTATGACGTTCGGATTCTTTTCTCCAAGGAGGAATTTGTTAGCACTTAAGAAAATATGCATATGAAATTGTAATGATTTATTTTGTCACTTAAGCTCCTTACTACTGAAATGGCAAGCTACAAATTGCAACCATTTAAATCCTTGGCGGAAGCCTTGTTAGAATCTATTAAGTAAATGCCACTTTGTCGCTGTGTTTTCTTTTCTGAACCTTTGCAGATTAGGGAGGTAAACGATTCCAAAGCTGTAGGATGGCACAAAGGATAAACTGAATAAATTACTCTCCTTTAATTTTCTTAAACCTAAAAAATTTGTGTCATGTGGGTAGATTTACTTAAGGGTTTAATGCCTGAAGACTTAGATTTAAATTACATTTAGAAAGTTTCACCTTTCTTTTAAGAAGACAAGGAATAAGACCTAGAGGTAAGATCTGGATGCCAGGGACTTGGGCTGTGTCTAGATTTGCGAAACGAGAAGAAAACCTCAGATAGTCCCCGTGTTTCTTAAACCAAAAGATTGTCATTTTTAATTTAGAATCATGAGGCTTAGCAAAACCTGGGACCTAGACCATCATGATCATTATTGGTGGTCGCTTTGATTTTAGGGGTGCAGACCCAGCCTTGAGGTTGAATGCAGATAGAGCAAAGAGAAGTTCCCAACTCTGGCTGCACAGTAGAATTTCTGGAAGAGCTTTCAGACAATATCTATTCCCAGGCTGCATGCCTGGAAGTGTCAGTTCACTTAGTTTGGGCTGGGGCTGAGGAATCTCAGTGTTTTCAAACTCGAGTGATTCTGGTGTACAGCCAAGGTGGAGAAGCAGTGAACTAGATAATGACTGGTTTAAAAACTTCTGTGCTCTTCTGTAGTGCAGTTAGTTTGTTTCTAATATTTATGAATTGCTTTCAAATTTGGAGACAAAAATATCGGGATCAAAGTGTAAATATTCTTCATTTTCAGATGATAGGAGGTCAGAGGAAGTGATCCATGTGTATGTGCCTTTAAAGACCTTAGTTGTCACTTGTTTTATAGGATTATTTCTGTTGAAAAGCTGGGACACCCTGTAGGCGTGTTTAGGAAGCCATATTAATATTTGAGGATTTAAACAGTGATGCCATGTTTTCCAATTACACTTTCCAAGAGAGTATTTTTGAATGGTTAGCAAACATTACTTCTCAGAGTGCACCTGTGAGAACTGTAATTTGGCATCCTGGATTTCCTTAAGTTTAGATTCAGTTTGAATACTTGGTCCCTGTACTGTGCTTTTTGTCTTTGGAACTGTTTCTAGATTTCACTAATTTGTTTGACTTGTACAGAATGATATTGCTCCTTCAAGTATGCAAAACCGAGGTCTAGAGAAGTGGCCTCGTCTGAAGCCAGGTAACAGGGTGCTCTGGAGGTGGTTGATTTATGGAGAATATTTGGTGAGGAAGGATTTACTAGTCCTAATTAGGTAACTAATAGGCTTTTCCCACCTGCTTACGGGTCCATATTACAGAATCATCCCAGACTACTACTTTGGATCAGTCTTGCCCAAATGATCACCACTATTTCATCTTCGTCCATTTTGGCACCTGTAGATTATTAGAACCTGATCAGTCTAAACCCAAATGACAGTGGGAATAGTCCTGAAATAGGTTCACTGGGAAGCACGCCCGTCTCTACCTAAATTTAAGTTCCAAAGTTCTCATTTGTTTAAACACGTCCTGTGATTTATAAAGCTACACTCCAGTGTTTTCTCACAGCTCATGATCCTTTCTCTGGACTGAACCCAACAGCAATACGCTCTCACAGTTCACCTGCAGTAAAGCTTTCTCCTGAGTATGTTTCTGCCTTTAGGACTTTAAAATGCTTCCGAGCTTGCGTTTGTTAACGTTTAGGTCCAGAGGGAGATTTATTTGATGAGCTTCATCCTGGAGTTTTCCTCGTTTCGGTTTCAGTTTGTAGAGCACATGGATAGACCCAAGATAAGTTTTCCTGAGTCAGACACATGTGCCTGTACTATATTTTTGTTTATTATTCACAGTTGGAACTCAAAACAGACAACAACCCCCAATTTCCCTTATATGCTCCCAGCGAACTGCTGTCTCACGAAAGAGAAATAAAAAGAAAAAAGTGCTCCCAAAGACTGTGGAACCTCTTACTGTGAAACAGAAGCCCAGCGGGTCCGAGGCTGAGGGGAAGGCGGCGGTGGCCTCTGAGCTCTCTGCTGTCCAGGCAGCTGAGCCCACCTCCCCAGAGAAGAGCCGCGTGCTAGGATTCGGCATTGTTCTGGAATCACCTTCCTCAGATGTAAGTCGCTATTTTCTGGCTGCTGACTGTAATGCAATGTAACTTTCAGGAATTTTATAGTATTCGTACATTTCCCTTTTGACAACTAGAGAAACTTGGCAGGATATATGTGGGACAGAAGAAAAGAAGACTGGTAATAATTTTCTTGTCTGGCGTTTTCTTTTCTGAAAATTTCATGCCTTATTTATTTAGACAGGTTTCCAGTCTTTGTCCTCCGAAGGGAGGAGGGTGATGGCATAAATAATCTGCTCCCTAATTTATTTTGCATTTTTAATTTTGTAGTGGCAGTTTTCAATTTCCTTAGCGTAAAGACCTAAAAGAATATAATTAGATCCTTTGTAGACGGGCATAAATGAACAGAACCATGCAGATAAGGTCATACCTTTCTGGAAACACAAACTAATAATAAAAAAGGAGCAGTCGTGCTAATTCTATTTTATAGATGCAAGCCACACTGCTAATTAGGTGGCAGCGCCATGCCATTTACTCTGTGTAATGATAGGTTAACGCTTTGCAAAGGTTTTTCTATTTTAATATCATAGCCAAATGTTGCCACAGTCCAGAACGTTGCGTGACATCCGAGATAACCATCCGACTTGCTATTCTGCAGTCATAGGGCCATAAACGAATTTGTTTAATAGTGCACTATATTTGCAATTGCATTTCTGTTTACAATGTCTTTCTCTAAGTATGTTTGTGTTGTGAACATTAACTTGTTGGGAGAGTTCTTAAAATAAACAAGAATGGGGGATCTGTTGTTATCCCATTGCATAGGATAAGAATCCTGCTGCGAATTCCCGCAGGCCTGTATAGGATTGGAGGTTGGTCGTACCTTTTAAACTTTATGTAGGAAACAAATTGCTATTTTTTAAAAAAGTATTCACTTTCAAATTGTGGGAAGACAGTTTGCTAGGGTCTGTCCACATTGGGTCTTGCACAAAAGGAGGGGACAAAAATAATCATCTTGTGACTTTTTTAGATTGGAAAGTTGTCGGAACTTTTACCTAATCCTCGGTGTTAAAGGCTTCTTTGTTTTTTTTGTGTGTGTGTTTTTTTTAAAGAAATCTATAAATACATGCTACAATTGTTAAGAAGTTCTTCCAGACTAAAAATTTAATTTAAAAAAATCATTCATGATGATAATGCTCTACCCTGGACCAGTCAGCTCATGGGATGGTATCATGTTGCTATTGCAGCTAGGGCTCTGAGTCAAACCCCAGTTAGATCACATACTCGGAAACAGAGGTAAATTCAACACAAAGTACATTCAGTTCTTACATTTTCTGAGCATTTTTTCTTTTTTGAGACGGAGTCTTGCTCTGCCGCCCAGGCTGGAGTGCAGTGGAGTGATCTCGGCTCACTGCAACCTCCGCTTCTTGGGTTCAAGTGATTCTCATACCTTAGCCTCCTGAGTAGCTGGGATTGCAGGTGTGTGTCCCCACACCCAGCTAATGAAAACTGGGTTAGCTGTTGATTGTCTTGGAAGAATAATATGCTTCTAAAGAAAAGTGAGGCCGGGCACGGTGGTTTACACCTGTAATCCTAGCACTTTGGGAGGCCAAGGTGGGTGGATCACCTGAGGTCAGGAGTTCGAGACCAACCTGGTCAACATGGTGAAACCCCACCTCTACTAAAAATGCAAAAATTAGCCACACATAGTGACACATGCCTATAGTCCCAGCTACTCAAGACTTGAACCACTTGAACCCAGGAGGTAGAGGTTGCAGTGAGCTGAGATCACACCACTGCACTCCGGCCTGGGTGACGCAGCGAGACTCCGTCTCAAAAAACAAAAACAAAAAAGCAAAATCATAGGATTGGGCAAGTGGCCCAGTGTTGTTGGAACAGCTGCCTGGCTGGCATTGGTAAAAGTAGGGTAGAGTGAGAGAGAGCAAAAGTCTAGGTGTACGGTGGTGAGGCCTTCAGCCTTACCTGTGGGCAGGAGGGAGCTGTTGCAAGTTTCCAGTAAAGGAAGAATTGTGCCTGTATTTTGAAACCATAACTGGAACAGCACGTGGCTGACAGAGCGATGGAGAGAGTGGGAGGAAGATGCGTGTGGCCCGCAAGGCGGGGGATCAGGAGGGCTGGACAGGAGCAGTGTGCCTGGAGAGGAGGAGCAGGGAGAGCTGCTCAGGAGGGATGCAGGGACTGAGTGGGAAGTGAGCCCCGGATTCCCATCTGGGAAACTCACTGGGTTACCAGCTGGGACTTTAACTGAGATGCAGAGCAGGGGCAGCGCAGGCTTTCAGCTCTGCATGGAAGGAATAGTGAATTTCATATCCTCAGCACATTCGCTAGACACCTCCAGCACAGGAGAAAGATTAGCACTAGAAATGATGGACAGTGACGCTGGAAACCCATGCTTTATCGCTTTTGTAAATGTAAAGTTTTCAGTGTATAGAGTTCCCCTGTTTGCATTGTGACTCTTAGTGTCACCCAAATGCCAATGTGTATACCCATGGCACAAGCACAAACGTAAGGGCCCACAAGGAGTTGTCAATCATGGCAGCTCAGCCACTGTCTTCAAACTGGTAACAACAGTCCCTACTCAGATGCAGAAAAACACTAAGTCCCAATCGGAACCAACCGAAATGTCAAAACGACAGTATTGTGAGCGTCAAATGAGACATAGTATATGGGAAAATCCTGTTGCAGTGCCTGGCACATAAAAGGTACTCAGTGTGTGTTATTTGTTTAACCTGTGAAGGAGGAATATGCATTAAGCTCAATGTACAAAATGATCTTAGGAAGCATGAAGTCCAGGACTTAGCTCTAAGGAGAGCCCCTCCCCAGTTTCACTGCAGTTCACTGCCCGCTTCCTCCTCTCTGTACCCACCCACTCCCCGTCAGGGCTCTACTGTGGTTTGAACGATCCTCCGGGATAGAACTTCCTGTACTGTTTGGTAATCATTTACATGATGATCTATCCTTCCACCCCAGCCTCTCGAGAGCAGAGACAGACTATGATTAGTAGTAATAATACTCATGCACCATCTTTGAGGTATTCTTACCATCCGCTTTCTATGAGCAGCCTGCACAGGTTCCCACAGCCACGAAAAGTGGAGTATGTCCACCACCCCAGGTCTGTCATATGCCCTTGTCGGCCGCGGGAAGGACTGGTGGGTGCCCATTCTAGCCCAGTGCCTGTGTGTGAGGGACACCCAGTCACTGTCGAGGGTCTGATGATCATATGAAAGACTGAAAGTTTCAGCTGTGGCTGTTGATGCTGTTTACTTGGCAGTTTCTTGGGGAGAACGTCACAGGCCAGGGAGCAGGCTCTGAGGTCGAGCCGCCTGGGTTAGACTCTCAGGTGTGTGACCCTGAGCAAGTGAGCCTGACCTCTCCCCTCTCCATCTCTCTCTGTAGAACGGGGGTAGCAAGTCTCCTGGAATTGGCCTGTTGGAGGAATTAGGTCACATCATCCTTGCGGAGCACTGGGAACAGCGCCTGGCTCATTTTAAGTATTCAATAAATATTAGTTCTTTTTCTTTTTTCATTTTTTCATTTTTTTGAGACGGAGTCTCTCTCTGTTGCCCAGGCTGGAGTATACTGGCAACAATCTCGTCTCACTGCAACCTCCGCCTCCCGGGTTCAAGCAGTTCTCCTGCCTCAGCCTCCTGAGCAGCTGGGATTATAGGTGCCCGCCACCAGGCCCAGCCAAGTGTTTTGTATTTTTAATAGAGAGGGGGTTCCACCACGTTGGCCAGGCTGGTCTCGAACTCCTGACCTCAAGTAATCTGCCCACCTCGGCCTCCCAAAGTGCTGGGACTATAGGCGTGAGCCACCGCGCCTGGCCTATTAGGGTTCTTTTTTTAACCTTAGCATTCTTACCTAAGTATCTTTATGGGAATAAATATTTTAAAATAAAACTTACCTATCAATGAACAAATACACTTGAACAAATAGTGTTTTTAGAAAGGGAATAGCCTGAAATATTTCTCTTTTAGGGCAGGACTATTTGGCCCTTTTGAAAGTAGCACAGAAGCAGAAACCCCAAACTAAATTTCACGTTTAAATACAGTATTAAAAAATAATAAATAAATAAATAAATAAATAAAGTATTCAGTTCTTTATTCATGAGTTCACAACCCAATACTCTACCAAGGTTGAGACAAAACAGTTGTGGACTTCGTATGGTCACTGTTCTTCAAGATGGCGTGTACTGAGTTGTGTTTTCAGAGCAGATATTCCTGGCCTAAGTTTGTTTTGTTGTTGTTGCTTTTTGTTTCTTGTTTTTCGGCTTTGGTAAAACACTAAGACTAGTTTTTAACAATGTTTTAAAATAATTTTTAATAGTAGAAAATGTTTTTCTATTTGTTCTTACTATAAATAGTCTCCGGTACTCTTAGATTATGCCAGTTTAAAAGTTTACAGAAGATAAATTGTGGATATTCATCAGAATATCTGTATTTTTTTTTTTTAATTGAGACAGAGTCTCACTCTGTCATCCAGGCAGGAGTGCAGTGGTGTGATCTCAGCTCACTGCAGCCTCCACCTTCTGGGCTCAAGCTATGCTCCTCCCTCAGCCTCCAGAGTAGCTGGGACTGCAGGCGCCTATTACCACACCCAAATAATTTTTGTGTTTTTAGTAGAGATGGAATTTTACCATGTTGGCCAGGCTGGTCTCAAACTCCTGGCCTCAAGTGATCCGTCCACTTTGGCCTCCCAGAGTGCTGGGAATACAAGCCACCGCGCCCGGCCTTGAAATCTGTTTTCTTAACACCTTCTTGGTCCAATACAGTGATCCACTGGGGTGGTGTAAAGTAAACCAAGTAAACCAAGCAAATGATTTTTTTAAATTTACTCATTGACACGTTGAGATTGAGGCTGTGTATGCCTGAAAGTAGAAGTTCCAGCATAGGCTGCAGCAGTTCTGATCCTTTCTTCATCATGTATTAGCTGGATAATCTTAATCAAATTACTTCACTTCTCTGAGCCACAGTATTTACATCTGCAAATTGGGGATAATAATAGTAGCCATTTCAAAGGGTGAAGATCAA